GCTGAAGAGCTTCAGAAACATCAACCTGATAAGACAGAGGGAGACAAAACTGGTAGCTTTGCATCTGTTAATGGTCTGTTTGATCAGTGGAGTTTAGAAGACAGCAAATCCCTGGATGTCCCTGCTCATTTCTCTGTTATGCCACTGGAAGATGCATCCACAGCAGAGATGTCTTTTAGGTCGGAGGACCGAGAAGAGTTATGGCACAGCAATCCTTCACATTTGAGTTTAGATCTGTCCAGTGTTGACTCTTATGAACTGGCTGACGTTGTGAATCAGATGACAGATAGCCAGCCCAGCACACCATCACCTATAGAGAACACAAAACCATTCTCTGGGCAGCCTGACAAGGAGCTGGGCATTATAAATGATGTGGGTTTCACCGCTGATCTTTCTTTATTTGAAAACCAAGGAGTAAGTAATTCACTCCCATGTGGTTAATTTCTCCAAATGTCTGCAATTCCTCTTTATATTTTTTAGTCATCTTCTGACAGAAAAGCAAACCATGTAGCTCTTTTATAGTGAGTAGGGTACTTCCTTTTGTAATGTGTCTAGTTGGAATAGCTTTGATGTTAAAAAAAATCCAAAACACAAACAAAGAAAAAACTACACACACACACCCCTCCCCTTCTCTATTTCAACATCCCTCATCTTCCAGAGGAGGCCTGGAGCAGACTTGCTGTGAAAAAATCACGGGTAGCTCAAGATCAGGTTGAAATAATGATGTAGAAGTCAAGTCAGTATGTATCACAACATACAAGCAAGTCACAGTATCTTATATTTGAGTTTCCAGGTATTTAGCAATTGGACTTTAGACTGCAGAGTTTTCAAAAATGCTGAAACATGCAGGCATAGGGACTGTGGTGAATAAGAAACATTTTGAAGGTTTTCTAGACTAGAATGGCTGTAAATATTTCTCTTCTTTTGCAGGGGGGTGACAATGAACTCATACAGTTACTTACAGACATCCTACTGTGTATAATGTGGAAAGGCATTGAAAAATCTGATGATGATGCTTGGATTGAGAGAGGACAGGTGTTTTCTGCACTGACCAAACTGGGGATATCTAATGAGTTGCTGCGACCTTCTGATGAGATAAAACTCAAGTGAGTGTACAGTTCAAGGACGGGCTCTTTCATCCCTTTTGAGGAAAAACAGAAAAAGTGAGATGCATTAGTGAAGCTGGAAGGGGCGAGCGTTTCCCAACAAGATGTCAAGATGTATTTTTTTTTTTTGCTCTCTCTTCACATACTGTCAGAAGTATATTCCACTACCTATTTAGTAGTGTCATGTGGCCTTAAGGTTTTGAAACTGTATTACTGGTTTCATGAGCATCTCAAAATCTCTTTTACTTCATTGGCTTATCAAGAAGACAGCAGTTATGTCACTGCAGGCTGAGATTCAATTAAGTACTTAATTGGATTTTTTAAAAGCCACTTATACTTAGAACATGCAATAATTACTTTGGGATTTTGTTTTCCGTGCAGCTTACTGGAGAAGATGTTAGAATGGTCAGTCACTGATAACAGAGATTCAAAAGCTCTCCCTACACATGCTGAAAATGCCTTCAAGCTCTTGCTAATTGTACAAGATTTCCTGCAGGCAGAAGGACTAGTTAATTCAAATTTGTGGACAGAAAAGGTACAGTAACTGCATAACGGAAATACTGTATATAGGCTGAAATAGTAATGGAAAAGGTGTCAGCTTGGATACTGTCATCCCTTCCAGGCATACGTTTTTAAACTGTAGATATTACAGAATAAGGGTTCATAGTGGAATGGATTAAATTGCCTGTATAATGAGTAAAAAAGTGTGACTACTTACTACAGGGAATATAGTTAATTTTATAAATTAAATAGGCCTATAAATGGTACTCTTGAAAATCCAAGTCTCTTCAGACTGGAGAAATATTTAGAAAATGTAGGAGCTGATGAAACAAAGTCAGTTGTAGCCTAAGCAGATTTTGCACTGTTTATCAGCATGTATGACTCCTTGTGTGTGTCCTGAATAAAAGATCAGCCAAAACTCTGCTCTCAGTTGCAAGCTGAGACACGTCACTTCTGGGCTTTGACGCATATTGGAATTCCAACATGATTTTGTGTGCATATGTGCAAATTGCTCTGTTTTATGTATCAAAGTCAGAAATATGAAGTCTGAAGAAGAAAATTACTAGCAAACACACTTAGTAGTAAGGTAAAGAAGCTTTCTGTCATCTGTTTCTCCTGCCTTCTTGACATACATGTTGTAGACACCCATAATTTGCCTGAACACTTACGTGTTTTCTGGCAGTGGTCTTGCTTCCTTCACTGAGTTGTCATTGCTTTTCCATTTTTCAGGACTAAAGGGGAGAGGTAATTATATGACGATAAATCCTTAAAAAATAATTTTTTAAGGCTACTTTTAAAAAAAAAATAATAAAAAAAAGTATAATGTTAAGAGTCATCAACACAGTAATTCCCAAGCTGTTCTCCAAAATGCCTGCTTATAAGTAAACATAGCTTAATCTTAAAGCTTTTGTTTGTTTTTAAAAAGTCTCCTCTTGATAAAACTTTGCCTTCTCTTGTGATCTAGCTTTGTGAAATCTAATTAGGAATGAGATCTGGACTTTGGAGCAATGAGAGTTGTGGTTATTGCCAACTCTGAATTGGAAATAACAGTACTTTCATAAACTATCTTCCACGGTGCCTGGGGAGAATTTAGGGCATGGTAATATTCTAAGGAGGACAGCTTTCAGTCTGCCACAGAAGCACTCATGTGATTCTGGGGCTTAACAAAAGAATGATTTCACATTTAAATGACTTATTAGGGAATGCATCAAGGTATATTAGTTTTAAGCAAACATGTCTGGATAGTGAAATGTGCTGTTTGCCTTGTGAAAACATAGCCTTTCACACGGTTTGTATCATTTCTAGTATCAAAATACTGACAGAAAGGAGTGTCTCCTAATTTTTTATTTTTTAAAAGACATTAATAGCTGTTAAGAAGTTCCAAGCATTTCACTAAATCAGATATTCATGAAAGAAGCCTTATTTTCCTTCTCAGGACACTGTGCATATTGCTGTTGCTGGTAAATTATACTAGCATCACACTTAAATCATTAAAAATACAAAGCAAAAGAATGAAATAAAATCCTATATATACTGTACCCAGAAGTTGCAAGTTGGTGGGGTATCTGTGCTATTAGTAATAGTGTCTTTTCAATTGTAGTAATCCTGCTCATGGAGTCTCCGACTTTTCTAAGGAAATGGCATTTATAGAAAAAAGATATATTATATGCTGCTTGTGGCTGTATTCAGGGAGATCCTTGAATTAACATGCTGGGCTGGATAGATTTTTGCAGTCAGGAATTGTTTCAAATTACTGGTTTAACTGCAGTGTTCTGGGATTATTTTCTGGATTTGGGTAAATCAGAAGTGTGAACACAGCATCTTGTTCAGCTCTTTGAAATGATTGTGTCTCCAGCTGGAGTAGCTGCTGTTAGTTATATTTCATGCAAATCTTCTGTTTATCCAATAGCTCTTGGAAGAACTAGTGACTCTCATGGATAGCCTATCAGTCTGGTATTCTGCTGGCCTAGAAGCAACCAAGCTTTCACAGGTGCAAGTCCAATTGCTCCTTGGATTCATTGCACAAGATAACTTACAGGTTTGTTGCAAATTCCTGCAAGTGGTGCTGTGTTTCAAGTGCATGTTTGATGTAACTGTTGTGCAGTTTATGGGGGAGCTGCTCATACTAGTGAGCAGACTGGCAATCCTTCATTCTTCTGTAGGGGAGATATTTTATTGGTTCTTACCATTTGCAAATGTACTCTACAGTCCTGTCAATCTGCACCTCCTGAGCATGAGAAAGAGGTAGAGGGCAAGCTGTTTGAAGATGGGACTATGTAGGCACTAGTGGCAGTAAGATAGTGATTCTGATCGTGACTTTTTGTTTCTACCATAAAATACATTTATTGGCGGTTTCAGGTTTACATACATTAAGTGCACATGAACCTGGACTGTTCTACCAAATCAACATTTGGAACAATGTTAGTAGAGCTGTTCCTGGAATATGAGCCCTTCAGTAAAGCCAGGATTGTTAATCTATGTATATGACTGTCTTAATGCAGCTCTGTGACTTTGGGGTTGCAGCTGACTAGGGTTTGGTCATCACAGGACGAATAAGTGATCAGTGCCCACATTTGATGCATGCGTGCCTTCAGGCTACCTGGGAAGCAGCCAGAATATGTACATAATCCGGTGCTAAAAAGATAGGTGCTCAAAATTACTGTTTTGAGGATTGCATTCATTTTTTGTTGTTTGTGTAGGTCTGTGCTATGGCAGCAGCCAAACTAAACACCCTCCTTCAGACCAAAGTAATTGAGAGCCAGCCTGAAGCATGCTATCTCTTGGGGAAGCTGGAAGGCATCTTGAGTAGATCAATTGAAGAGAAGACAGAAACTTATTCATTTTTGATTCCCCTTGTTCGGACATTGGTATCCAAGATTTATGAACTTCTCTTCATGAACTTGCATCTCCCTTCATTGCCTTCTACCAATGGCAGCCCATCTTTCTTTGAGGACTTTCAAGAATACTGCAGCTCTGATGAGTGGCAAGTTTATATTGACAAATATGTAAGTAGTAGATTATTTTTGTATCCTTTTCCCCCTCTTTTTAGCCATGAAAGCAGAGGAACTCATTCAGAAATTACATTGTGCTTCTTGTTTTGTTTTGGTGGAACCAGATTATTCCAAATATGAAACAGTATGAAGAGAATTCATTCAGACATGATCATGAGCAGATGGCACTTTATTGGAAAGATTGTTATGAAGCATTTATGGTGAACATGCACAAGCGAGACCGGGACAGAGGAGAAAGTAAGCTTAAATTTCAGGTAAGGTTTTGAGTGAGTGCACGTTTCTCTTAGAAGAACTATCTCAGGAGTTGCCTTCTAAAAGATGGAGAAGGTGAATTCCAGGATGTTCCAATTCAAGTGATTCCAGGCAGGTTGATTATTTTAAGATTTTATTAGCAGTGTGACTACACACACTTGTAGGATATGTTGGTTTTTTTCTGTTCTTTTTATTTAAGAGTCTTATCTGTAAGCAGAGTTACTTCAGGACAGTAGGCCTTTCTCATAGCACAGCAACCTAGAATTATGCTCAGCTATTAAGCTGCATCTTCTTTTACTGTGATTTATGTTTTGAATTATTTAAACCTCTTCTCCATTATGCAGTGAGTCAATGTGATTTATTTTATTTATTTTTTTTAACTCTACTTCAATATGATAAAAACATTTAAATGGTGAACAGTTCCTATTTAATGCATGGAAAAATTGTTTCTGAACTGACCTTTCTGTATAAGGTCCAGACTCACTTTAAGCATTAGAATTAACTGGTTATTACAGCAAATATCATAGCTAAGTTACATTTCTCTTGTTTTACCTTTACCTTCTTAATAAGGATCCTTCTAGTAAATATTTTTTTATTCAAGTAGCTAAAGGAAGAATACATGTCACATTCTATAGAATACCAGAATTTAAAGAAAAATCCTACCTATTATAATAGCATTTCCAATAGTGATCACTTTTCTGATGATGAAAAATTGCTTTCCTATGGATTCAATTTTCATTGCTTTTCATATGGATTCAATGCTTTCTTCACATCTTTAAGTTGACGTTTGGTGCCATTTCTTCCAGTACTAAGCTTTTTAAAACTTCTCTCATAAGCATTAACTTAAATTTTTAAATTTTTTTTTTTTTAATTTTTAACTGCTAAACCTCTTCTGTTCCTTTGTAATTTATGAGAATTCTTGCAAGCTACAAAACTGTTTTCAAAGATAAGAGTTACTTCTTTGCTAGATTTATTTTTAATGGTCTTTCAGGAGCATTTTGTGGAACCATTCAGCAGAAAGGCTCGACAGGAAAATCTACGGTACAACAGTATGCTAAAGCAACTTAATAGTCAACACACAGCTACTCTGAGGCAGTGGAGAGCAGCCCAGCTTTACTTGCTCTCTGAACGTGGTCCTTGGTCTGAAATGTAAGAGTGAAGTTCTTAAGTCAAACCGTATGTGGTGCTTAAAAGGAATTTACTCACATGACTAACTTACTGTTTCACGTGGTTAGAACCATGTCAGATTGACTCTGATAACCGTTCTTTAGATGTGAAGTTAATATTGAATGCATGTTTTATAATTATTTCTTTTTTGGCATCTAATTATCAAAATGCAAAGTTTGAAGTGTAATGCTGAGCTGGTTACCTGGATACTAGATTTTCTTGCCAAGTGACAAATAAAAATAAGCTATCAATGAAGTGATTGCAAAAACTTCTTGTGTGATCCTACAGATTGGTGGTTCTGTTGGAAAAGAGTGAATAGACTTGTTAATAAAGACTCTGAGTTTTTATGCATGAATCTAATTTCAATTTGAAAGAATACATTTTGCCTATATTAACTTCTGGGGAAGTTCTGGATAAAGTTTTTTTTTCCCTTTTAATTGTCGTTAACTGAATTACAAAGTGCTTTGACATGATCAGAGCTGCAGTGTGAAATATAAAAATTAAAATGCAGTTTATTGCTTTTATGTTTTACAATGTACAAGTGGATGACAAGTATTTCTCTAAGTAGGTACTCTTTTATAATTCATTCATATAGGTCTTTACCTTCTTTTAACTGTTTTTATGAATATTCTTGTTTTCCTAGGAAACACCATCCTATTCACTGGAAACTTTCAAATGTGGAAAATTTTTCACGTATGAGACTAAAACTTGTGCAGAATTACAATTTCAACTCTCATCAGGATGCTAGTGACCTGAGAGATAATTTAGGTAATGTTGTATTGTATTTGCTATTTCACTTGAGATTCTTTACTGAAGTCTGAGAGTGAGTGAAAGACTTCACTGAGAGTCTTTACTGAAGAAAGATACACACTTTGCTCTTTGCATTTAAGAATCAGTGTATGGTAGATACTTAAATCTTGATTTTTTTGTTTTACCCCTTTGTTTCCCCCTTAGTAAAATGTGTAATGTACGAGTGGTGGTTTGACCTGAAATAACATCTTCCTACTGAGTAGAATTAATTTCCTCTTGTTCATTGAAATGTGTGTTTTTGTTGCCAAAAAAAGGTTAAAGAACTCCTTTGTTTTAAAATAAGCAGTCATGTAGCTTTCTTGCGTAAGATTATTTTTTCAAGAAAAGGAAATGTTGAGATCAGAGTAAGCAGGCATTATTTGTTTAAAACCTTTTAAAGCTTATGATTAAAATGTGTGGATATGAAGTGCTTTGTTTCACAAGTGTGCCAAACAGCTGAGTTAGTGGTGTAAACTGTTCTTTAAGTTAGGTGTATTGGATATCAAAACTCAAACAAACAAACAAAAAAAACCAACCCTGCTCTTGTAAACCCAAGTAAGTGAAAACCACATGCAGTGTATTTAAGTTCTGGCAGAGCACTCCAAAATATTTTATTGGAGATATTCACATCAGAATTCAGTTTAAAATTTTCTAATGCATTTATGTCTTCCCTTTATAGTGTTATGATTTGACATATATTTCAGTGTAGTCCAGGGAGTATTTTTAATGTTGTGCTTTCCCCCAAAAGTATTTAAGAAGTCTGGCTCCTTCTTACTCAGTTAAAACCAATGTTCAACAGTAGAAGTTACACTCAGTAGTTTAGCTTTCTAAGAATGTTGTAGCAAAAACCTTCCTGAGTTGAAATGTCTATTTATGACAGGTGTGCACCAGACACAGCCCTCTAGTGAGTCTCTGCTTCTGGAGGTGGTGAAGCAGGTGAAAGTGAGTGACTTGGAAGATGATGTTCTTGAACTGCCGGATGAAGAGACAGCAGCTAGCTCCAATTTGTAAGTACAGCAAAATAGAGCAGTTAAAATTTGTTTCTGTGCTAGAGATGAGAAGTGAGAAACAACTTCAGAGCTGATTAGCAATCAGAGCTTCTCTCTTTATTTGTCTGGCCTTAACAGTCTAATCCAGGGCTTTGTAGTAGTTCTGAACAACAGAAAAGTTGCTGTTGGATTTTTCGTTGTCAACAATGAGACGTAAGAGCCCCAGGGAAAAGAAGACAGAGCAGATGTTTGTGAGGAACTGTTAGTGATTCACTGCTCACAGTTGATCTGAAGCTGCAGAATTGTTGAGGCTTTTCTACTGTGTACATTCTGCAGAGATGGTCTGCCCTGTAAAGGAATACACCAGACAGGAATTGGCTCTTGCCCATAGATGACAGGGTCATTCCCTGTACCGTCAGCTGCATAGCATGGATGTTTGCTTGGTTGGCATTAATCTGCTACAGAGTCCCTTGTGTTCAAGAGCATTGCAGAGAGACCTGCTGTGCCTCCTTCATGTCACTTGTGTGACTTTTAAAAAAAAAAAAAAAAAGGGGGTGGTGGCCAGGACAGGGGAGATACCAAATGCTTCATTCCAGTAACTGGACATGTGATGCTGTGCATGCTCTATGTGTGCCTATGCTGTTGAAATCCAGTAGAGATGTGACACTTGGAGTGATACCAATGTATTTTCTTGTACGTTAAAGGTTATTGAATGCTTGCTTGTGATGTGTCCTATCTATAGACTTCTGAGCAAGCATTACTTAAGATAGGTCTGAAGATAACTTTATTCACTTGAACCAGGACTCAGCTCTGCTCTGGGCCAGAGAATTTAAGCACCTAGCAATTAAATAAGGAAGGGAAATGCAGCCTCATGTTTTCATACTTCAAGGGAGGTCAAGTCCATTGTGCCCGAGACTGAAATATCAAACCTGAAAAATGATGTTATGAAATGATGTTTGTCTGAAACATCCAAGACTGCTGATGGAAGTAGCTTCATATAATCATTTATGTTGTACTTTTAATGCTATGCAAATTTGATTCTTTTCTGAATTGTACTCTTACCAAGTACCTAAGCAACTGTGTAATCTACCCAACCCTGTAACACTTTGTGGTATTTTTGTAGGGATGATAAGGATGAGCAAAGTCAGAAAGAAAAGCTAATACTGTCTGAAGATTGTGAACTCATTACAGTAATTGATGTGATACCTGGCAGGCTGGAGATCACTACCCAGCACATCTATTTCTTTGATGGTAGCATTGAAAAAGAGGAAGGTGAGCATGATCAGTATCTCTTTCTTTTCGGTTCAGTTCAGCATTCTGTTTTCAGTAGGCTGAGTTTGATTTTTTTTGAGAATGAATATCAAACTAATTGTGAAGAGTCAAGTTGTGGATCTGTACTTAAAATGAATATTGTACTTGGTGGCCAATGACTGGTTGATCCCTTCAGAATCAAGAATCTGGAACTGTACTTGCTGAGGTGTTAATTGATTCACTATTCTTAGTCTTTCTTAAAAAAATTAATATATTTTAAAAAATTAAGTTTGCTGACTAAAAAAGTCATTATCTCTAATTTGCTGCTTAAATGGCACGTCCCTATTCTCCCTGACAAATAATGTTTCACTCATACATTGACTTAAAAAGTAGTAGTAAGTAATGATTAAGTAGTAGTAGTATGTAAACGTTAATCATCTATATTAATTCGGTGAACTATACACAGTTAATTATGAAAACAGTGAACTGAAGTATTTGACCAATAATGGTAAAATTGTCAAAAACAGTAGATCAAAAAGTTGGCCTTTTGGGAATTCTAAACATAAAACCTTCTATTTGAGCCTATTTAAGAAAGCAAAGGGGTTTGGTTCATATTTTTTGTCAACAGGATACTTTTATAGTATGTCTCTGATCAGAAAGCAAAAACAAATTCTACATTCCATCAGATATTTCCTGCTGCCTCTTTCTTTCAGCAGAACAATAGCTGAAGTTAATGTTTTCCTAGCAAAATGGTTAATCAAGCCACATAAAAATTTGCCTTTTCTAGTGATAACTGGGGTGATTGGAAGTGATACTGTATTATGTCTAGATGAAAAGTTTTTTATATATTCTAAGTCAGTAATCAAAGTGCTCTTCCTAGGGGTAGGTTTTGATTTCAAATGGCACCTCTCTCAAATTCGAGAGATACATTTGCGTCGGTACAACCTGAGGAGGTCAGCTTTGGAGATCTTCCTTACAGATCAAACCAACTATTTCCTCAACTTCAATAAGGAGGTACGGGTTTCTCAGATTTCCTTGATTCATATAATTAGCACAAGCGTCAAGTTTGAGTTCAATCATTCAGAACAATCATTCAACTAAAATTATATCAGTAGTAATCTAAATATCTTGAAGCTCTCACATCTTTTTAAATATTCTGAGTAAATTAATTACAAAGCAAAGGAGACTTTCTATTTTATCATTGCTATTTCTGTATTCCATGGGTTAGGATTAGTGAAGTCCTTCTGCTCCTGCCGCCCCCCCCCCAATATCAGTAATCCTTTGTATGTGGGACTAAGATAAATATCAGAACTTAGGGTGAGTTACATATTAGTAGGTCAGTTTATTAATAGCTCCTATAAAACATAGTGGGTTGGGGGTTTTTTAAGTAAAATCTTTTGCAATG